AGTCCTCATTGGAAAGAAGCCATGGATGCCGAAATTCAAGTCCTCCATGAGAATGATACTTGGGATCTTGTGCTTGCTTCTTCAGATGCTTTTATTGTTGGAAGTCGTTGGGTCTACACAATCAAACTAAAATCATATGGTTTCCTTGATCGATATAAGGCTCGGTTAGTTGCCCAAGGATACAATCAGGGATATGGGATTGATTATGAAGAAGCTTTTGCTCCAGTTGCTAAGATCACCACAGTCCAGGTTCTTCTAGCCTTATCTGCTATTCATTCCTGGACTATCTACCAATTAGACGTAAAGAATGCTTTTCTTCATGGTTAACTGAAGGAGACAGTCTACATGAAGCCTCCACCTGGATATTGCAGTGGTTCTTCATGTGTCTGTTGCCTAAAGAAATCCCTATATGGTCTGAAGCAAGCACCCAAGGCTTGGTTTGAGCGCTTTTGAGATGTTGCAGAGGAACTTTGGTTCCTCTGGTTACTCTCTCTTTGTTAGGAGAAGGACCCAGGGTATTACTATTCTACTGTTGTATGTTGATGACATGCTTTTAACTGTGGATGATTATGATGGCATTTGTGAGTTGAAGTCCTTACATCACAACTCCTTTCACATGAAGGACTTAGGCCCTCTTACTTATTTCTTGGGTTTGGAAGTCCATCATAGCAGTCGAGGGTATTTCATTTGTCAGCAAAAATATGCCTTTGATCTCGTCAAACTAGCTAGAATTACTGATGAGAAACACATTGATACCCCTTTGGAGCTGAATGTCAAGTTGTCTAAATTTGAAGGTCTAGTTCTTCCTAATGCTAACTTTGTACTGTCAGCTTGTTGGCTCTCTGATCTAGCTCACTATGACTCGGCCTGATATTTCACATGTTGTTTAGGTCGTTAGTCAGTTTGTTTCTGCCCCTTGTCAAGCTCATATGGCTGTTGTTTGCTGCATCATCCGTTATGTTAGAGACAACTTTTCTGGGACTGTTTTTCTCTTCCTCATCACCCATACAATTGAGAGTTTATGCTGATGTAGATTGGGCTGGTTGTCCTGACACTTGCCGATCCACTACTAGGTGGTGTGTCTTCATGGGTGACTCCCTCATCTCTTGGAACTGTAAGAAACAACACCATCACAAGTCTTCTACTGAAGCTGAGTATAGAGCCATGTCTTCTGCCTGTAGTGATATTGTTTGGTTGAAGTCTCTCTTCATAGATCTTGGTACTTAACTTCCTACTCTTATCCTTCTATATGCCGACAACACAAGTGCTATCAAGATTGCATCTAATCCTGTCTTCCATGAGAAGACTAAACATATCGAGGTGCACTGTCACTTTATTAGAAACCTTTTCATTGCTGGCTCTATATCTCTTCCTCATGTAGCCTCTCACATGCAGATTGCCGACATCTTCACCAAGGCCATGACTAAGAGTTGACACCTCATTCTTATGGGCAAACTGATGTTGATGTCTACGCATCAGTTTGAGGGGGAGTGTGAAGATATATCTTGATGTACATTATTAGTATAGCCCTTGTTGTACAGTACTCATTATTTTATTTGTTCTTTTTATCTTTCAGCCCTATAAGGGCATTCTTGTAACTGTACATATCTTTTAATATAAAAGAGGCTCTTTGGAGTGGGGGTCGACCATTCTTGACACCCCTGAATCTGCTCTCTTGTTCTCAGTTCTGCTCACACGAAAACAATTCCCATAGGCTCCGTTTGGTGCAAATTTCATTTGCATTGGTTTAAATGCATGGGAGTACAAATGGACTGAGTGTAAATCCTGGTTTACTTTTGCTTCAGATTTGACCTTATTTTGTAAATCCTGGTCCCCAATTTGTATGAAAGAGAAATGAGGCAGGAGGAAATTTATTTTTTGGGGGGATGTGGTCCCCACTTTATATGAGAGAGAATTAAGGTGGGGGAAGTGTGTGCAAATTTTACATCAGTTTTTCAGATGTAAAATTTGCACTGCTAATGGATGCAAATGAGACAAAAGTGCAAACTTTGCATCAGGTAACAGTGCAAATCATAATCACAAACAAATGGATGCAAAACTGAACCAGGTGCAAAATTTGATTCCGGTTCAGATTTACATTGCAAAAAAGTGCAGCCTTAGATAACAGTAATTACCTTCTGTAGCCTATAATATCATAAGCTAGAATGATGCAAAGAACATTTGGCTTCCATTCCATAGAGTTACATTATACAAGGTCTAAGTAAACCATCCTTTGGGAGGAAAAGAAAAGAAAAACTGATGCTTATTAGGAATGCCATTTTAATCTGCAATGGGAAAGGAAAAATTCCATTTCTCTGTAACAAAATTATGACAAATAAAGAGTTTCTGATGGTAGCTCCAGAGGGAACCCTGGTCCAGCTGGGATTTGTGGAGCTATGTTACCCAGATACGGCAAGGACAGAGCAAGATATGGTATCTGATTTGAAATTTGTACTAAACAGTTGAAGTATCTGAAATGATATGGAACCTTACATTACCTTTTTGCTTTAAAGGAAAGAAGAAAAAGATTCAAGAAAGGGTGACAAGAAACCACCAAAGAAAACTGGACCTGCAACACCCACCACACCAAACAAAAGAACATCAACTCTTTACAAAACCAACCTTGTAGAGATAACTATGTAAGCCACGTAAAGGGGAAGCACCCCACCCTTCAACAAAAAAGGAAAAACATCCCCAACCTTACAACAGTCCATAAGAAAAGACAACACAATTTTGATCCAACAACCACATCAACATCCATCTGCAGCAATGGCCATGGCAAAACAATAAATACCTACACTTGACAAGCTGCAACAGAGATAGCTGCTCCTAACTCACCCTAACCAGCCATCCCACTTTCCAAAACACTCTTCTAGCACAATCTTCATTGTGTAGACAAGAGCATATCCAATTTCTTTCCAACTTAAATTTCTCTTTCATCCACCATATTGATTTCTATTTTCTTGTCAACTTGAGTACCTTAGTCTAACACATAGACCTCATCAAGCACTACTTGGTCCATCTCTCCCTAGTCATGGCCTTGGTGACTGTGCTTGAGGCAAGATGATGGTGACTGTGCTCTAGTTCTGTAACTCTTGTTCTGAATAGGATTGTCCACATTAAACTGCATAATCTCCTCTAAAGATGAAACAATTCTCTCAATCCATATGAAATCTGAATAATTCTTGCCTCAAGCACAGTCACCATCATCCCCTACCTCCCAGCACTACACTCTTCAGCAAAATATGGTTCTAATTTTTTATCTATGAATTCATCATTGACAATTCCTTCTACAGCAAAGTCATAAACTTATCTCTGTTGCCAAACTTCCATATCCTATTGCTTCTAAAACATTCAAATTCTTCACATACTCTCCTTGAACTCTAATCAACTTCCCAGAGTCTAAACTAGAAGAACATAAATTATCCTCGCTGCCCCCTTCTCTTATATACATTCTTAAACTTCCCCACTCGAACGAGCTCCACAAAGACCACTTTTTAGATGATAAAGCAATTTGGTAATATGCACCAATTGATGGATCTTAGATCCTCCAAATTCTTATGGGAGTCATATAGCTAGATGACTCCAAAATCTCTTCTTAGTAATTAAGGAAGATAACAATAAGTGGTGCCAAAATCTGGGCACCAGTCAATGAAACTGCTGCATTGCCTTAATGAAATAAGAGGATTCATTGCTATGCTTATTGTCCAGGCTAGATGGATCCTAAAAGAGCTTAGTGCGATGGCTGATATGCTTGCTAAATCAGGGGTTCATGAGGTCTTTTTGTATAGTGAAAGCACCATGCTTGAATGGTTTTGAACTGGATGGGGTTGCCATATGCCCATATTTTGTTCAATTTTTTACATCTTCTTATGTATACCTCTTTCCTTTACCCAATATAATTCAGAAACTCTTTCTGAAAATAAAGAAATAAGGAGATTGATAATTTTCTCTTGCACTGATAACTCTTGTTACAAGGGAAACGGGCATTTTATGTGGTTAGATGATAAAGAAGAGGCTTCCATTGGTCACAATAAGTTCTGAGAATTTTATCCAGAAGACATTAATAGCCTGTTTCAGTCGTCTTTCTTCACTTGTTGACAGAGGAGAAACATGAGCATCCGTCCTTCGGTTTGTGAGGGAAGAGAGGAATGCTAGGGTTTTCTTTTTTTTTTTTCTTTTAATCTGATAAGAGCCCAAGCTGCTATCCTTGCCACAAGGACTTAGACTGAACTGCTCATTGGATATTCAAGTCTTAAAGTGGAAGGACACTCCCAGGTCATAATAGTTTGTACGAGGAATGAGTCTTGAGGCTTTGGAGGCTTCACCATCACCTAAGAGAAACAAAATCCTTTGCTGAAATCCTGCAAACTCCATTTTAATGAATATCTAGACTGCTAATTATCTAGTGGATGCATTGGGTGGGAAGGAGTACACAGGAGGGGAAACATATATGGAATCCATTTCCCTGTGTTAATGCTTGATCTTTGTTTGGATCAGGAGTATGTAAATTGACACTCAACAGGGGAAGAATAGCAAGACGGATAGCTCATTCTTCCTGTTTTATGGAGGCATCTATTTCTTTGCTTCTTTTATTCTTTATTCTCTATTTTTTGATAAAATCTAATGAAATTTTCGAAAGAGACCAGTTCCTTGAAATCAGAGCGGAAAAGAAGTCTTGATCCAGATGATTTTATGCATTAACTCAATTCCCTTATCATTCTTAACATTAGGTCCCCCCACTCCCCACGTGCACACTCGTGCACACCAAAAACAAACTTCTTTTTTTGGAACATGTTCTCATGGTGATTAAGAAGGTTCACAAAGGACAACATCTTATCATTTTTGAGGGTCTTGCTTAGCATTCAACTATTGTTGAACATGGACCTTCTAACTTGGAAATTGAACTCTTAACTCAATTGAACCCCTTTGTGTTGTTTAAGCCCTGTCTATTTTTTTATAGTTTGGTATTTTCACTAACCAGAAATTACTTGTGGCAGATAGAAAATGAGTATGGCTCGTATGGAGATGATCAAAGATACCTTTGTCACCTTGTTACTTTGGCTAGAAGACACCTTGGAAACAATACAATTTTGTAATACTTCCAAATCATTACACTTTCCTGTTCATATTCTGTGGAGGAATATTCTAAGTATTATCTTAATTGGCCAAGTACATGCATGATTTATTTCATATAATGGTGTTTATTTTTCATTTTTTAATTTTGTATTTTCTATTTTTCAAGTAAATGCAAATTCACTGAAAATGCATTAACTGTCTCCTACCTACCTTAAGGTTCCATTACTTTAATTTTTTTTCTTGGTTAAAAGTCGAGGGGAGTTTAAGGGGAGCTACTTTATTTTACTTGTCATATGCCTGTATGGTACCTCAATTGTTGTATTTTTGTATTAGGATTTTCTTTGCTTTTAACGAAATAATGTAAACCACCACCAACCTACATCTTGTTTGTTTGTTATATGGAGCAGATGTGGGTGCATTCTTCCACCTACAAAGATTTTATGCACCTCAAGAAAGGGTCTGTTTAATGACAACTGAAATGGCTGAACTGAATGACTTACTGCTTTGTCTTTTAGTAAGTTATTAAGAAGGATGTAAGCTCCTTAATGGCTTAATGGATGAATCTGAAGTTGGATTTGATTATTATACCCTTTAATATTTTATTATTTAATTATTTTATCCACTAAAGACAAAGCAATAAGTCATTCATGTATTGCAATTTTAGTAAAGCTATTAGTATGAATCTTGGTACAAATTAAGTTTATTATCATGAGAGACCCCAAGCTAACCACTTTTGGTACCTGGGATCAATTATCCATAATGAGAAAGAACTAATGAGGATGTTGCCCATAGAATTAGTGCAGGGTGGTTGAAGTGAAGAGGTGCATCAAATATGCCACGTGATCAGCATATATCAACAAGACTAATGGAAAATTATATAAGACAGTTATATGACCAGCATTGCTATATGGTATAGACAATTGGGAAGTCAAGAAACATGTTAAAAAATGAGTGTATCTGACAGGATGCTGAGATGGATGAGTGGCAAGACTAGAAATGATAAAATCATAAATAAGTACATTAGAGAGGACTTAGGAGTGGCTCCAATTAGTGGCAAGAGGAGGAAAAGTGAATTGGTGCAAATAAAAGGCTCTATAAGAGCAAGGGCATGGGTCTTGCTAGAGCACAACTGCAAGACAAGATCCATGTAGCCAAAACCAAATAGTTGGGATTCAGGCTGAGTTGTGTTGTGATTCATATATTTTTTATTTTAATCAAAATTATTTTTAGATGTTCAACTTATTGCTTTTGCAGGTATACTACAGATGGTGGTTCAAGGGAAACCCTTGAAAAAGGAACTATTCGTGGAGCTGATGTATTTTCAGGTTAAGTTAATTATTTTTGATGAATAAAGATAGATTTATTAATTCATAGAATCAAGCTCATACAAGCATCCCTTGAAGAGGCGCGAGCTGTGACCTCTCCTGACAAAGTGCAAAGTAAAATGTAAAAAATAAACATATTACATCTGAGCCCAGAACAACAGTTCCCTATTTGCCCCTTGCTTGGCTAGACAATCAACTATTTGTATTCTTACAGATATGTTACGTGCTAGCCACTTAAACTTCTTGACTTCATTTTTGTAGGTCCACACAGCAGTCTTTGGGTCCTTTAACCAGCCCACTATCACCTTGGAATCCCCCCTTCAATCAAAAGCCATTCCATGCCTAGATAAGTTGTGGACCACACTCTTTGAATGGCAGCTAGTAGAGTCTCCAAATCCCAAAGGACCCAAGTAGAAAACCACAATCTCTCCGAGCTCATTCCTCACAACTCCTCCCAAACTAGAGGGACTTGGGTTGCCTTGACTACTGTTGAAATTCAGCTTCAAAAAACCTTTAGGAGGGGGTGCCCAACTTGCTGCCACCCTAATCTTTATGGGAGAACACCTTGATACTTCTGATCAATTCCTCCAAATATCATTAAAGGAGAATTGGTGAAATAAATCCAAGGTCTTTAACTAGTGTATTACCCTATTCAACACACACTCCTTTAATTCTTGGCAACTGCTGTCATTCTCTTGGAAGATTCTCATATTCCTTTCTTCCCAAATCGTCCAAATCAGAGCTGTTCTAGCACATCTCTACATAACCCTTCCTCTTTTGTTATGCCAGACGAAGGTAGAAGGATTAAAGAGCGTGCTTACTTTTGTTGGCATGCCTGCACCCAAACAACTAAAAAAGCCAATCCCACAACCCTGCAATAACAGAGCAAGAGATTAGCAAGTGGTAGCAATCATCACCATGAGACCTGCAAAGAAACACCAATTAGATGAAATACAAAGGAAAGGTCTTTCTCTTCTGTAGGTTACCAAGGAGTTTATTTTCCCATAATACACTTCCCAACAGAAAGCCATAACTTTTGGGGCAACAGGTCTGCACCAAACTTCCTTAATAGGGAAAACCTGCTAAGACAAAGGGACTTGAAAAAAAGAGGCACACGAGAAGGCCCCTTTGGGCCGAGGAAACCAGACTTGTTTATTTGATTCAGAGGGATCCAAACAAATCTTATTGTGATTTTAGATAAGCAATCAATTTTTTCATTCCTTAACCCTCTATGGAACCCAAAATCCCAATTTGGAGCTAAACGATTTATACAAGGGGAGAGAAATTTTGAGATCACATCTTTTTTGTATTAGGACATAGAGAATAAGGAAGGGAAGAGGCCCTTTAAGGGGCTATCCCCAATCCAGACATCCTCCCAGAACCGAACAGAGTTTCCAAAATAAATGTCATACCTATTGATTATTTTCATCATTATCATCATAGTTGTCAAAGTGACAAGGTGCCCTTGGAGGGTCACCTTGCCTACTTGCCAAGTAGATTTGTACATGCTGTTATGAAATACTTTAATATTGTTAATTTTTTTAAATTATAATTATAAAATAGACATTATTAAACTAAAATATTCATTTTGTGTGTTTATATACTGGTTTCTTTTTTTATTATTTTCTTATTTGTTAGGGTTTAATCTGTTGGAAGGATTAGAACCCATCATATGTATGGCCGAACCATGCTAGATGGCTAGGCGAATTTCAAAAATTTTTCCTAACCTGTTCCGGAACCGATTTCCCTGTGATTTTGAAAACTGAATTTTTCGAATCAATATTGCACTGAACCTGACCAGATTTGAAATCAAAATTAAAGCAGATTGTACCTAATACAGAGACCACAAATCGCAACTCCCAAAGTGAATGTTCATTCCCAATATCTGTCCCAAAACCAACCTCCAACTGAAGATGGCGCAGTATACGGGAGAAGCTGGTTCAGCAACATTGTTTTCAGCAAACTGCTATCCAACTTGCTTGGATCGAATAGGGATGTGTGAGCCTGATTTCCCTAATGATTTTTTTTTTTTTTGCAAAATCTTAGAGGAAAAACTGATAAAAATCAGTTCTTGCAATGGCTAGGTCGTGATAGGGTTTCTGGGAGAGAAGAGAAAAGAGGAGAGAGCAAGAAATGAAGAGAACAAGTTCTATTTGCTCTCTTCCTCTTAACCCCTTTATATGGAGCACTCTCCTAATCTAATTAGGAGATATCCAAATCTAATTAGGATCTGAACTCTTTTAAGGGATAAGTATTATCCTCTTAAGAGGATAGGTGCTCCATGCCCAGTTTCAACCCAAATCATATTAGCAATGGGCCTTTGGCCCATTTTCTTCAAAGGATCACATCCCTAGGTGTTGCATGGCCACTTTGGGCCAGATATTGTATGGCGTGGGACCCCACAAAAGTTTCACACAAGTCCATGAGGGTTTGGCCCCACCTCTAAAAGAGGTTAGGCCGAATTCATTGCTCAAGGTGTTCACTAAGCCAATCAGCCTAGGCTCAATCTAGGCTCAACATTTACACCTAAATGATCCTTGGATTCAGCCACCCTATGAAGACCCAAGGATAATGGACTTATGTGAGATAAAGCCCATCAGGTAATCAGCCCTGTAATGGTCTTTTACACTTAACCTCTCAGCCCATAATGATCACAACACTGCCCGGCAAGGAAGGACCTCTCTCCTAGCTGCAAGGTGCAGTGCCACACTTTTTGCTCAGATGGATCCCGTGATTAAAATCCTTTTGCAAACCTTTTCATAAAATAGTAGTATAGCATATAAATACATTTTGCAAAATCAGATTTCAAATACAGTTAATTTCCACTATCAACAGTTTAGGTTTCCATCAAAGAGAGTGTGAACCCTGATATTCTCTTTGTTCAACAAAGGGGCCAATCCTATCACTATGGTCACCCACTCAGGTGATTTCCCAAACTACCCCAACATGCCCAGGTATTTGACCCTTGATGGATCTCACTAGTTGGCATATCAAAGACAACCCAGTCCAACACCTAGTGTAGTATCATAATCAAGTCCAGGATAAAGTGTAACCTTCTAGTTTTGCCCATCTATCTCCAAGGTCCAAGGCATAACTGGAAATTGGTCCGGGTTCAGTGTTTTTTCCAAACACCCACTGCTTGTGCTTTGGGTCTAGCCCTAGCATTTGAGACAAGTTGCTCCAACTATTTGGCAGCACACCAGTGTCAGCCTTGTCAGGATAAACTCCCCAAGTCTATCCAATGGCTGAGAACTTTCTAGACTAACACAAGTCTCATTAGTGTTCAGTTTAAGGAGTAATACACAGAAAAGCATACCAATATAAACATGAAATGACAATGTACTTTATTCATTTACAGATAAATGTTTATGTACATTAGTCTGATTAGAGTTAAGGGCATACATTGTCTAACATAATCAACACACACATTGCTAAATGCTCTCTTGAACCCTCAAAGACTTCAAATATCAATCTTGTACTGTTGTTCTTCTCTATCAATAGTTCCTTTTGCTTCTACACCATTATTATTACCAATAAAAAGACAATACATATTAGCATTTAATTTGTATAATAAATTCAAGTACCTAACTTTTTCTTAATCCTAGCAAAGGAGGAAAATGGCGTATATCATATACAAATTTTTATTCTAATAGAGATAACATGTGAGGTATTTCATAAAGGCTCTAAGATTTTCTTGGTTACTTGTTTGCAGCTGTTGACTTCTCCACTGGTAGTGATCCATGGTCTATATTCCAGTTGCAGAAGGAATTCAATGCCCCTGGAAGATCACCCCCTCTTTCTTCGTTAGTATATCTTTTCCTACTGCAATGTGCATAAACTGGAGGAATTTTATGCTCATGTGCTTGGTGTTTCAGGGAATTTTATACAGGTTGGCTTACTCACTGGGGAGAGAAACTTGCTGAAACTGATGCTAATTTTACAGCGAATGCGTTGGAAGCCATTTTGTCTAAAAATGGTTCTGCTGTGCTTTATGTATGCTACCACTCTCAGCTTTCTGCTTGGAATTGATTGCTTGATTGGTATAACAATTATATAAGCTTTCCTAAATGTCAGATGGCACATGGAGGAACAAACTTTGGATTTTTCAGTGGTGCAAACACTGGTGGGAGTAGTTCCAATTACATGCCTGACCTTACTTCGTATGATTATGTAAGAAAAACAACAAAAAATATTGACATGATTCTTAACTTTTATTCTGAAATATTCATTATAATATTAAATTAATTCCTTTTTTTCAGGATGCTCCTATCAAGGAAACTGGTGATGTGGATAATTTGAAATTCAAAGGCATATTCTTCTTAACTTGATTTTGCAGTGAGAATCCACTATTTGTCAGTTACAATTATTTCTGTGACTAAGCACATATTACTACTTTGTTCTGTAGATGTCTAAAGACCAAAAAAGGAAAAAAATCAAAAATAAAATACTTTAATGCCTTTCAAACAATTTATTCATTTACATAGAGGCTATAGAAGCTTTGCTAGTGTCCTGGTCAGCTGACCTGACTTATAATTGGAATTAGCGGAAGCGAGGTTGGATTGGAAATGCACATCATTATAATGGCACTTACTGGGATGTTTCATACTTTCATTTATTTATCATTACTAAGTGTTGTTTTGGAGCTATCTTCAAGTTTGTTTGTGGAGTTTCAGTAAAGCAACTATTTATGTTTCAAAAAAAAAAGTAAAACATCTATTAATGAATGCTATTCTTTTTCAGCACTGAGGAGTGTCATAAGACAATATACTACAGTAGCACTTCCCCCAATCCCTTCTAATAATGAAAAGAGTGGATATGGGACAATAAAAGTTCAAAAACATGCATCTTTATTCGATAAAATTGCCAATGTTGACATGGTTGAATCTGAAACCCCAATTCCAATGGAGTTAATGGGACAGGTATAATTACGTTTTCTTTATAGGAACCTTTGGTAATTAGAATTCAAGAATTTCAAATGATCTTTTACTGATAACTAATATCTTATTTTTATTCAGATGTTTGGATTTTTGTTATATCTGTCTGAATATGCAGCAAAAGAAAATGGAAACATTCTTAGAATACATAAGGTACAATTCTTACTTTTCATTCTCTAAGTGGTTAGTTTGTTTAGATGATCTTATTGGATTTTGAAAATATACAGATGGGCTATTATACTTTGTAAGTGTCTCGAGGTGGTCAACCTCTCTACACTGAGTAATAGATTGGGCATCCCTTATGGGCCAGAGATTGAAAGTATCTATTTGAATTTCTTCATGACTAAGTCCTGACCTGGTTTTTTCCTAAAATTGAATTTCTTCGTGACTATGGGCCAGAGATTGAAAATATCTATTTGAAAATGTGCTTTCCACCAATCTCTGAAGTTTAGTTACCATTATAAATTTAGAATTATTGATTTGGAGGAAATAGTGTATCCCAGAGATGTGTTTCCATTACAAATGAATGTTTAAAAATCTAGAGAAACTAGAGAAAGATTGGGAAAAGAATATAGATTTATGTTAGAGATGTGTTGGAATAAAAATGATCACAAGTATCAGTACTAGCTCAGGATTTGTCCTTTTTGCATCAGGCAGATGAAGTTTCAAGGCTCAAAATCTTAATCTCTATCTTGAGTGGGTTTCCATAGTTTTTTATAAGTAATAGCAATTTTATTAATTAAAATCAAATGATACATATAACAAACTCCCCGCAATGAGGTACGAGGTGCAGCCTCTAAACTATATCACAAAGCTTACTGTTAGAGTCGACTAAAGAGGGGTATTTTGGTCTTTTCCCCTAAGTGTTAGCTGTATGTCTCCTCATATGCAGGGGCATTTCAGTCCTTGTAATTTTATTTTTTGTAATGTTTAAGCTTGGTCGACTGGGTTAGACGATTTGTCTTCTCAGTTCGACACTGTTCACCTTCTCCCTCTTCTCTTCTTCTTCTTCTTCTCTTCTTTCTTCCTCTTTTCTCAGTTCGGCTGAACTGCACAAACATGGTATCAGAGCGCCATTGACAGCAGTCGATTACAGCATCCTCAACTAATATTTCTCAGTTCTTCTTCTTTTTTTCGTTTTTTTTTTTTTTTTTCTGGTGTGAGAAATCTGGGGTAGAAGACTGTGGCACAACCCAGATTCCTGCAGCAACTTCTAGGGTTTCAGAGGTTTGACTTCTGGTGACAGGGAAAGAGAACAACAGTCGAGTGACCAGAAAAAATGGGTTTTTTTCGTGTAGACTGCCGTCACCATGGGTGTGACAGCCGTGGTGGTCGAGTAGGTGCAGTCGTGGTGGTCTTAACCCTCTAATGAGCAATTTCAAGTGGGATTCTTTGTGGTTTTAAATCTGCATGTTAGCAGTACAGTGGTGGTTGAAGTGGTCGAAAGTATGCTAAGGCCAGTACTTGGTGGTTGAATCCCCGGGTTTTAGTGATTGGGAGCAAGAGGATGCTCAAATTGCGACGTGGTTGTGGAACAGTATGGAGCCTAGAATCAGTGTTAATTTCATGTTTTTAGATACAACAAGGGATATATGGGAACCAGCCAAGAAACTCTACTCTGGACAAGACAACACCACAAGGGTTTATCAGCTTTATCAGGAATACTTTAGTTTGCAACAGGGAAACTAGGCTCTTGAAGAATATTACGCCAATGTGAAGAATCTTCGGAATGAACTTAATGTCTATCATCCCTTAACACCAGACATTAAGATTTAACAACAACAAAGGGAACAACTAGATGTTACTCGGTTCTTGGTGGGATTGAAAGCAGAATATGAACCGATCAGAGCACAGATATTGGGAGGATCTGCTCTCCCTACTCTAGAAGAGGTGTTTGCCCGTCTCCGTAGGATACCTCTTACCCCCACAGAGTGTAACATACCTTCCGATAGATCAGCACTTGTTGGCACTCGAGGTGGTTCTTATGGACACAGAGGAGGTGGTCGTATAGTTAACGGAGGCCGTGGTAACCCAATGGGTGGTTGTGGTGGTAGAGGAGGTCGTGATTCAGGGGGAGGCCGTGGCAGAGGAAGGGGGAGCACTATTAGAAAATGCACATATTGTGGGAGAGAAGGACACACAGTTAACTTCTGCTATGATTTGCATGGCCCACCATCAACATGGGCTAATCATGCAGCTGTTGGTGGTAGTGAAGCCAGTGATATTCAACCAACTGATCCAGCATCCTCTACAGTCACAACTACTTCTGGGAAGGAGATGATGAGTAATTTGTGTTGACAGGTGTATTATATGTACTGTACACAGGTTTAGTGCCCGTAGGGGTATTTTTGTAATTTTGTAGACCTCTTGTGTTGTATGGCCAGTATAGTATAAATACAAATGCTTCACTCGACTGAAGCAGTTCTTTTGAGGCCTTAACTCAGTAGCCTCTTCTTTCTTCTTCTTCTTCTTCCTTCTTTCCTTTCTTCTTCTCCTGCTCAACAATTTGCAAGAGAGGAGTATGAGAGATTTCTTTAGGCCACCTCACATCAGAATACTGACATTCTTGCTCATTCAGGTATAGCTTGCCTAGCATCCAAACCTTCACCCTAGATAATTGACTCTGGAGCCTCTGATCACATGACCGGGACTCTAGGTGTGTTTTCCTCCCTTTCTCCAACTCCTACATCGAATAATGTGATCCTTGCCAATGGATCTCTTTCTTTGACTTTTGTTTTATACGTTCCCAAGTTTCCTTTCAATCTTATGTCTGTTAGTAAACTAACCAAATCCCTTAATTGTTCTATCACATTTTACCCTTCCTCTTGTGTTTTTCAGGATCTAACGACGGGGAAGAAGATTGGTGGAGGGCATGAAGCTGGAGGATTGTATTATCTTGACGGTGGTGGATCTATGGTTGCACTTCAAACCTCTTTGACTCCTCTTCAGTGGCATTGTAGACTCGGCCATCCATCTCTTAAAGCTCTCAAGCTTCTTGTTCCGTCATTGAGTCGTCTGTTGTCTTTACAGTGTGAGTCATGTTAGTATGGGAAACACCATCGGGTTTCCTTTAGTCCTAGAGTTGATAGTCATATGTTGAGTCCTTTTGATTTAGTTCATTCAGATGTGTGGGGTCCAATTAGAATTGAGTCTTATAATGGTTACAAATATTTTGATATCTTTGTTGATGATTGTTCAAGAACGACATGGCTTTATTTAATGAAAGAAGTGAATTATTTTCCATTTCCCAAAAGTTTCATGCTGAAGTGCATACATAATTTGGTGTTTCACTTAAAATTCTTCGTTCTGACAATGGCAGAGAGTATTTTCTTTCTTCATTCCAATAATACTTGGAACAACATGGTATTATTCATCAGACATCTTGTGCTCACACCCCTCAACAAAATGGGGTGGTTGAGAGGAAGAATCGGCATCTAATTGAAATAGCTCAGTCTCTCCATCATATGAATGCTCCTAAACATTTCTAGAGTTATGCAGTTATGACTGCTTGTTTTCTCATTAATCGCATGCTCTCATTTATTCTGAATGGCCGTTCTCTGTTCTCTATCTTATTTCCCACTCTGTGTCCATATCCTCTGACTCCCAGGATCTTCAGGTGTATGTGCTTTGTTCAGAATTTTGGTCATGGACTAGACAAGTTGGACGTTCGTTCCGTTAAATGTATCTTCCTTGGCTACTCTATGACCCAAAAAGGGTATAAATGCTATAACCTTGTTACTCGAAAATTCTTCGTGTGTCCTGATGTTACATTTTTTGAATCGGTGCCATACTTCTCTCCTTCTGATATCCCTTCTCCTCCTATAGAGGTTCCTCTTCCTCTTCCAGTTGATAATTCCACCCCAGTGGTTCCCATTATGCCTGAGTCTACACCTTCCCCAATGCAGGAGCGTATTGAAAGACCACCAATTCGTCAAGTGTATATTCATCGGCAGAGGCCAGCACCTCCACCACCTTCTACTCCAGTGGCTGATCCAGCTCTTTCCACAATTGAATTGCCTTCTGACCTTGACTTTCCTATTGCAGTGTGGAAAGGTAAACGTAGTTGCACACTACATCCTATATCCAATTATTTTCTGTATCTCACCTTTATGCTTCCCGTTGTGAGTTTATTACCTTGTTATCCTCTGTATCCATACCTAAGGATGTTAAGGAGGCTCTTACCTCACCAGGCTGGCGAAATGCTATGGAAGAAGAACTTTCTGCTCTTCATCACAATCATACATGGTAACTCACCAATCTTCCTCCAGGTAAACATGTTGTTGATTGTAAGTGGGTGTATACTGTTAAGTATTTACTAGATGGGAGAGTGGAACGGCTGAAAGCCCGTATAGTTGAAAAGGGTACTCTTAACTTTATGGTGTAGACTATGTCGAAACCTTTTCTCCAGTTGCAAAGATTGGCTCAGTACGCGTGTTGATTTCCTTAGCTGCACTGCATGATTGGCCTCTCTTTTAGCTTGATATTAAAAATGCCTTTCTCCATGGTGATCTTCTAGAGGAAGTGTACATGGAGCAACCACCAGGGTATGTTGCTCAAGGGGAGGATGGTAAGGTGTGTAAGTTCAAGAAGGCGATCTATGAGCTCAAACAGTCTCCCCGTGCTTGGTTTGGCAAATTCAGTGAAGTAGTGAAGGAGTTTGGAATGAGACAATGTCAAGTTGACCATTCAGTATTTAGCTATGACTCTGTGGCTGGGAAGATCTTGTTGGTAGTATATGTGGTTGACATAGTCATAATTGGCAGTGATAGAGTTGAGATTGATAGATTGAAGACATTCCTACAAAATCACTTTCAGACAAAAGATCTTGGGAAGTTGAAGTATTTTCTAGGTATAGAAGTTGCTAGATCAAAGGAAGGCATCAACCTCTGTCAGCGGAAATATGTTCTTGACCTGTTGGAAGATACAGGGTTGCTAGGTGCTAAACCAGCTGAAACTCCCATGGAACTGAATGTGAAGTTGGGGAGTGACACAGGTGAATTGTTTGATAATCCTGGAAGGTATAGAAGGCTAGTGGGAAAACTGAACTATCTAACTATCACTAGGCTTGACATCTCTTTTGCCATCAGTGTGGTAATCCAATTCATGCAGAATCCTCGGGTGCTTCACTGGGATGCAGTTCTTAGAATTGTGCGGTATTTGAAGGGGGGGGGGGCAGGTCATGGGTTACTATACAAGCTAGGAGGTGACCTTGAAGTAGTTGGATACCCCGACACAGACTGGGCTGGCTCTGTATCAAACAGGAGATCCACTACAGGTTATTGCACCTTTTTGGGAGGAAATCTAGTGACTTGGAAGAGCAAGAAGCATGTTGTTGTAGCAAGGAGCAGTGCAGAAGCAGAATACAGGGCCATGGCACATACTACATGTGAGTTAGTATGGTTGAAGAATCTATTGCAGGAAATCGGGTTTTCAATAAGCAAACCCATGAAGCTATACTGTGACAACCAGGCTGCAATTCACATCTCATCCAACCCAGCTTTTCATGAGAGAACTAAACACATAGAGGTAGATTGCCACTTTGTAAGGGAAAAGGTCATCAATGGTGAGATAAGTACTAAGCATGTGAGAACAGGTGACCAATTGGTAGATCTGTTCACAAAAGGGTTGAGTTCGGGAAGAGTGAGCTATATATGTAACAAGCTGGAATTATATGATATATACCTTCCAGCTTGAGGGGGAGTGTTAAGAGTCGACTAAAAAGGGGTATTTTGGTCTTTTCCCCTAAGTAAAGTGTTAGCTGTATGTCTCCTCATATGCAGGGGCATTTCAGTCCTTGTAATTTTATTTTTTGTAATGTTTAAGCTTGGCCGACTGGGTTAGACGATTTGTCTTCTCAGTTCGACACTGTTCACCTTCTTCTCCCTCTTCTCTTCTTCTCTTCTTTCTTCCTCTTTTCTCAGTTTGGCTGAACCGCACAAACACTTACAAATGAGCCCAAAAAAGCTCCTATTCACCATTTGTTTGGCTAGAAAATCTGCCAACCCATTTGCCGATCTTTCCATATCTGCCATCTCTATCCTGAATAGGTTTTCATAGTTTTGCTCCACATAGCAGGTATATTAGCTAGAGCTGGAGTCAATAGGGTTTTTCTGTATAGTAGCAACTAGTTAGCCAACTTTTTTTTTTTGCCCTTCTGTTTTGGAGGGGGCTGCCTTTGCATTTGTATGCTATGTACATCATCTTGCTGGTCTCCTCTTTTGATACATTAACATAAATATACCCGGTTACCATTTCTTAATAAAAGAATAAAACTTTAGTATGCTTACGATGCTATGAGACTAGAGCATACAATCATCAATTAGATTTGATATTCATCCTCTTTAATGTTGAGCCGAATTCCTAATTTCCTATTAGTGGATGATAGGCAGGAACCTTACCATTTGAAACATGACCTATGGTTGTCAATGTGGATGTAACTTTCTTAGCTAACTTTTAGTTTTTTGTAGTTTTATAAATTATATATTTTCAGTAATATATCCCATCTAGTTGACCCCAAATAGTTGGCTTCAAAGCTAAGTTGAGTTTTATTTATCAAAAAAAAAAAAGCTAAGTTGAGTTTTAAGCTAAGTTGCACACATCTATAATGGCCTGACTGCTTTACTTATTTTTTGTTCTTAAATTGATCAAACCTTTTTAATATGTTAATTTTGGTTTTAAATATATTCAAATTAAAAATATATATATCATTTTATGCCAGAGATATGAAAGTTTAAAGAAATTCAAAATTGTTTTTGAGTAGTCAATTCTCCCCCTTCCCCCTTAATTTTTGTGTTGAACTTCTCTGGTTATCTTTGCAAGTGTCCTTTGTATATAACCCATGCTTACATGCATATGAATACTAGCATTACTTTTTCTTTCCTTTAGTTACTTCAAATGCATGGAGAACCATGCATGATGAATATTGTGTCTAGTCTAGTGTTTTAAAAACGCAAGGACCATTTTGCGCCTAAGCCTAAGGCATAAGGCGTATGGCGAGGTGTGCGCCTTTTTGAAGCAAGGAATAAAAAATGCAAAAATGCTAAAAAATGCCAAAAAGTAAAAAAATGTAAAATATTATAAATTTAAAAAACATTATTAATTACAAACATAAACTTAAATTTTAAAATAAATGTTTTAAAAAGCCTATTATCTTAATTTAAAATACATAAATGTAACATGTAAAAATATTTAAAATGAAAATTTAAAAATCAAATCAAGCATAACATATAAAACATATTCAAGCATGTAAATACTTAATCTCTTTATTTTTTTTTCCCAATTGCATTACTTCAAGTAGCTAATGTGATGTTAAACTTTATGCTCCTAATTCTATGAGCCGCCTTTGCACGAAGCCCCTAGAGGCAAGCTGGAACTAGTCCATATCAGGGTCTTAAATTCTTAATCCCTATAAAAAGAGGTTTTATAACTTTAAGTGTCTTTTAAAAATATCTTTTATTAGGATCAATGAATGAGCAACATTAGCAAATATGGTTGTCTTGAGGGGCTTGATCGGTGGGCCAAGGGAAAAGCCCTGGCCCAACTGCTAAGCATGAAAAAACAGAAAAAAGTGCACAGATTTTCAAAAGGCAGACGCCTGGGCTGAAGCACAAAGCTCACCAGGCGCATGCTTAGGTGCACTAGGCACATGCCTTTTGAAAGTGTTGTGCCTGGGACCTAGGCGAGGCGCATACACTAAAATGTACCTCACCTATGCACCTTAGGCTGACCTTTTAAATCACTGGTCTGGTCCAGGTTGTTGTTAATTTTATTTTAATGGTACAATGTTCCTCAATTATGGTGCTTGATGCAGGTGTTATATCTGTTGGGATAAAAAACATAGTGCTGCCATTCCTTGTATTCATATGAGGAAGACTTGCACAACTTTCATAGATAACAGATAAAAAAAGAGAAGGAAAATGGAAGAGTAATGCCTGAGGACCATCATCTTTGACTAATCAATACCATTTTAGCCATTTATATGTGCCTAAGAACCTGTATTTTATGGCTTGGGAAAACATGCTATGGATCAGCCATAAATAATGGTCCTTATTTCTGCCTTGGCATAACTCAAGATGAAATGAACAGATTTTTTGTTAAAAGAAAGTTTTATGAGAACATGTAGCTGAGGAAATGCCAGAGCCAAAATTAGGTAATGACCCTACTAGGCTCACACAAAAGGAACATTTTTTATTTTCTAATTTCATGGATTAAGAAAAAAAAAAATCTGATATTGCAAACTTGCAGCAAGGAAAATGCTATTTTTTACCAACAAGATTATTCATTCTCTAATCTTAAAAGCCTATGCTAGTTTTTATGAATTAATATTTTAGTGATAGGCTGAGAATGTGGACTTCGAAATTATTATCATATGTTTATATTGTTTTAATATGTTTATACCTTACCATCATCATGGTCAGCCTCATTCAATTGATTGCAACAAGCAATCACATTTTCCTTTACTTTTTTTTCTCAGACAATGTTTTTCATTATTTTTTATTTTGAAATAGTAAGGTAAGATTTCATTTATCTTTGCAAAATCAGTATATACAGATATATAGCAAGTATATAAGGATTTATGCAAGGTTTAAGCCGATAAAAAATAGAATAGATCAGAAACTATCTTGTGTGAATAAAGTACATGATGAAACATGATTGTTGGTACATCCCTAAACCGTTGTGGATGGAAAACCAAGAATTATCTTTTGGCTGAAAGTCCCCATATTCAGCAAGTTGTAATATGTTTTTCTTGATTCAAGTTAATTCAATACAGTGGCATGTAGTTGTGGTTGGCTTTTAGTGCACTGTGTCTGATACCTTAAGTCTTTGTCAGAGCTTGTAAGACATACATATACTTTATAGTCTACACAAGTGAGAGAATGTTTTTCAATTGTATTATTATAGCCATCTGAAACCCTCAATAAACAGCCTCCATTTCCCTGTTGCCATCATTTTTCTTCCTTCCTCTTCATCCATTTACTGTCTAGGTGATTTCATCAATCTATGTGTTTTTTTCCATGACTCCACGGCTTGTTCAATTAAAATCACAACGTATTAACTTGATGTATCTATGTATAACTTCTTAGAAATTACTACCTGCAGGTACATGACAGAGCACAAGTGTTCGTTTCATGTCAATCTACAGACGATAGGATTCCAACATATGTCGGTACAATTGAAAGATGGTCAAATAGGGCACTTGATATTCCTTATGTTGAATGTGTCTCTAATATCAGCTTATTCATTTTGGTAAAGTGCTTTCTGCTTTCCCATTTATCTAACTTGGCATAGGGTTTTGTTCCATTCCTTATCAGAATGAATACTCTATAAAGTATGCAAGGATATAGGCCCAAAAAGGACAGTGAGGATCACAAAAGAACTCGAAAATTTTGCATGATCAACCAATTTAGAGTCGACCATAACATAATTGTTTGCTCTATTCATTTGAATACTATGTGCACATAGTCTTTAGTTCGTTTTTAAAGAACTTATCATTGAATAGGTTATCTAACGGTGTTTCTTGATTCTGTGACTATGGAGAGACATTTTATGCAGACATGAAGTAGTTAAAGTGTAGGGTTTAACAGTTCATCTTATGGTGACTTGCACAAAACTGATTTATTTACCTTCTACCTTCTATAAATACCTGATGAATTTGTTGAGGAAAAAAGTTGCTGCACTTTATGTAATATGTATTTCAATTATTTTGTTTGATCAAGATAATATTTTACTGTATAATCCTTATATTTTGTCTTTCTTATCTTTTTGGTTTTTTGTCTCCTGGCGTTTATCCCCTTGTCTTGGAGTCCATGCTATTTTCTTTCCCTAATTTTTTGTTGACTGGAGAAAAATTTAGAAAACGTTTGTTCAGCTTTAGTTTCTTATTTTCTTCTTTTTTTCTCTTTTAAATTACTAACCGATTGGATAAACATTTGGCTTTGAAATACTCTCAAAATATTTTAGGTCATATTGCATCTGTCTGGATTTGAAGATCTTGGCATTTTTACCATCAAGAAGAAAGCCACAAACTAAAAAAATTCTTGCTAACTGATGCTGATGTGAGCCAATAACTATAATATTTCAGGTATTATTTATTTAGTTTGGAAGATTGGAAGACATATTCTGCAAAATTGTTTCAAGGGAAAGAAAGAATGAACAATTGGGACTTTTAGCTTAAAATGTATCAGCAGGTATTAATGTATTCAATCTCCTAATTGTAGGTTGAAAACATGGGTCGTGTGAATTATGGGCCATACATGTATGATAGGAAGGTAATACCTCCCTTAACAATGCTTTATGAATGTTCATATAGACAATTTAATTTTTTTAATGCTCTTTAACATGAAATGAATTGAGTCGAGTTTACTTAAAACAGTACAATGCAATAATTTTGTGAGCAATAATGCTTTTAGCATTTCAAATGAATTTACCATAAAGAAAAGGTCCAACCTCTCATCCATCAAAAAAAAAGTCCAACCTCTACTATAGTGAGTTCAAAGAATGATATTGACTACAGAACAGCTTTAGGATTATGGTATTTCATTTGAGAACCAAATAAAGGTTGATTTTTATTTTTTGTCATTCCATGATTGTAATGTATTCTTTAAGGATAATAAGTTACATTTTTTTGATAAGAAACAGCATTATCAAATTTTATTAATATCAATATAAACTTTACAATAGTAATTAAAGAAATGAAATACAGCCTGCTGCTGTCAAATCTTCTCTTTTACTTTCATCCCTTTATAAATTAGCACCTAGCCCTGCTTCACCCCACACTAAACCTTTTAGACTCCCAACCTTGCAAGAGATTAAGTGAAGCTGTTGCTTCTCTGTGAATCCATCTGAATGAGGAATTTTGGTCTGTTACCAGTGTTCTAGCTCTGTCCAACAGCTTCTCTAGTCAAGGATCTCATATTTCAAGGCACCTCCATCCCTGATTTTAGCCAGTTAGTGATATCTTGACAGTCCCCCTCAACTTTCAGATCTGTCTATCCAGATGAAGGCAAGCTTTAACCCTTGTAGAGCTTCTAGCAGTTCAGCTTTGAGTTAATTCCCAAAACCAGATGGTCAGAAAAAACTTAGGGTACTGTTCCTTCTTTTATCTCCAACTACTCTTATACTTGATTTTCTAGGGTTGTCGAAATAGAAACCATCAAAGCTTAATTTGAGCCTACCTTGGTTAGGTGGCCTTGATATGGCATAGGTTTGTTGTCTTCTCAGAGAACGACTGCCTATAATCTTCCATCCCCTAACAATATCATTTGCAGATACCTCTTTGAATTAATCACTAGCCATCACCTAGTGAGTAATGTATGTGACTGCATTTTCTTTGTTTCAAATATTCCCAACTTCCCATACTTCTTTCACCCCAGAAATAATGAAATATAGATTCTGTAGTACAATGCCACATTATCTTTTACTTTTTTTTCCTTCTTTTTTTGTGCATGCATGTGTGTATTAATGGGGAATGGCTGAGAAGAAAGAAGCTCCAAAACATTGGGAGGGGGTGTCCAACCTGCACAAACGTGTATGCACACATGAGTGGATAGATACCAGTTTTTCTGTTTCCTTTGAAACATCTCACCATTGATGAAATAAGTTACATTAAGTAACTTGACATGTCCTGAAGAACCATGTTTATATGTTAGTCCATGCATACATAAGCTGGGTGTGCATTTTACAAAGATTGGGCTCACCATCTCCTCTGCCACTGTTCAAATTCTTTGAGGAAAGAATGTTGTTTAGTTCTGCTCTGAACAAGGGCATCTAGAGTATAGGAACATAACTATCTATGTTAATGCTAATATGGAGTGCAATGCCATAATTACTTTCAGGCTGTAGTTTTTTTTTTTTTTTGATCCATAAAAAAAATAAATTTAAAGAGAAGGGGAAAAGAAAAAAGGGTTATCCCTTCTATGAAGCACCAAGACTCCTGAGTTTGATCACAAATGAGCAGCCAGTGAATATGGGTTTTTTTTTNGGGGCGGAGCTAGACACCTTGATGCGCAGTTTGATGCATCTCCAGCCTAGATGCTGAGACATGGGATTTCTAATAAAAATTATTAGAATAATGATTTTATATAATTGTAGATATCCTAACTAACATTATGACACATACTTGGTTACTGCTTCAAGCTTTCATCTCAGTTCCATTTGGTTTTCTTTTACAGGGAATTTTATCTGCTGTTTATCTAGATGGCAATGTTCTCCATGGATGGAAAATGTTTCCACTTCCTTTTGATAACCTGAATAAGATGCTAGAAGTAAATCCAATTATGCAAGTTGGAGATTCTAGGATTGCCAAGGCATCTGTCCACATGAATGTAAAAGATCAAACTAGTATGCACTCTTTTCCTTAAAATATATGTCAATTTAGAAGGTAAATATATGAACCAAACAATATCTACAACAAGGTAGCTTGATTACATTACATTTGGGGCATCTTTCCTTTCAAGCATTTTCAACATAATGTAACATTGCACACACTAGAGTCTATTGAGAATTCCTTGAATTTGCTCTTGGAAAGATTGGTTCAATTGGCAATGGAGAAAATGGATATGATTGTTGTGTTCCATCTTCTATTTATTCATTTTGATTAATCAGTCATCTGTTGATTTCTTTCCCTATAGAAGACGCCTTAGGCAAGGCTCTCATCATTCCTTATTACCATTATCAGTGACATCTTTTGGTAGACTTCCAGTCAAGTCTGTTCAAGTTGGGCCTCATTAGAGATTTTATGGTGGATAGAATGATACCATCTTTAGTGAGGTTTTGTAAGTTGTAACCCTAAAGATATCATCATGCATTGTATGGTAGATCTTCATATTTGGAGGGGATTAGAAGTAATTGCCAACATCGTTGGTCTGTGAAATTCAATGACCCTTGGAGTACCTAGGTCTTTCACTAGGGACTAACTTGAGAATTGTAGCAGATTGGCATTCATAAAATCTACCATTACTAATCTTTTATGGATCTCAATGGATAAGACACTGCTCATAGAATGCTATCAGCTTTATGAAACCTACTTTTCTCCATTGTATTGGGTCTTATCTGGTGGTTGGAGGTAGGGTTAGATTTTGGGAGGATCTATTTTGACAATTAATTTCCTTATAGGCCAGGCAGGGATGGTCTTGTTTGATTTGGATTTCTTTGGGATCTTACAAATGATAAAAGGATGCACACATGAGGAGATAGGCACTTATTTGGCCTTTTTTTTGTAGCACATCATAGGTGTTTACCTTCCCTAGGAACACTTCCCAACAAATAGGAGGGATTGGTTTACACCAGATTTCTCTCACGGGAAAGTTCACCCCCCAAGGTTTCAAAGTGAGTAAGCAGACTAAAGAATGAGGCACAAGAAAATAAACCATTAGAGGCTGGGAACCAGATTCTACTGTTAGCAACATTTTGGTCCAAGTAGACATTCTCCAGGGTTGAAATTAGGAGTAGGGAATCACACTCATTATCCCTTAGACCCCTTCTAAAACCAAACTCCCAAGATAGGCCCAAGTCTGGAAGTACACCAAATCTAGCAACAGGGACAGCCTTAAGGTTTGACAAGGAATAAAGTTTAGGGAATTTGACACCAAGGGGCAATTCTCCTACCCACAAGTCTTCCCAGAATAACACTTTATTTCCACACCCAGCATCAAGACGGATAAAGTTAGGAAGGTTGGCAATACCTCTCAATGATTGCTTTCTAGGGGGAATTAGAAGCTGCAAGGGAGGCTAGTTTTGCATCCCAATCATTGTCTTCTTCACCAGAATGCTTTTAATGACCTTGTACCACAACCTATCTTCTTTGTGAGGGAATCTCCACAGCCATTTTCCTAGAAGAGTCGTATTTTTCTTCAAAAGTGGAGAGGAAGTAAGTGAGCAAGTTAGCTAGGGTGGACCTTATCATGGTTATTCTTGCCCCCGAAGAGAGATCGTTTCTCTTCCACATTGCTAGCTTTTTAGTAAATCTCTCTATAACTGGTTTCCAAAAGCTTTCTGATTTTGGGTTTCCCTCCAAGGGCATAACCTAGATACTCTAGCGGCCAAGTTTTTACCTCACAGCCTAGTAATCCTACCAAGGGCTGAATGTCACCCTCGATCTAGTTTATTCCAGCTACACAGCTTTTTCCCCAGTTGACTTTTAGCTTTGAAATCAGCTGGAAACCACTAAAGCTTTTAGATTCCTCAAACTAAGTTCATCACAATTTTCATAGAAAATGATAACGTTGTATGCAAACTACAATTGAGTCACAACCACCTCCGATCTACCCATCCTCTATGCCCTAAACTGATTTTCCTGATCGGCCTTGATGATTTGCCTATTCAACACCTCAACAACAAAGGTGAACAAGAAAGGGGTTGGGGGATTACCTTGTCTTAGTCCCCATTTTGTTAGGAAAAAAAATCCTTTGCTACTCCAATTGAAAGGATTGAGAAGTGTGCCGAGCTAATACAACCTTTGTTCTACATTCTCCATCTTTCACCTAACCCAGACTTTTCCATGAGACTCAAAAGGAAGGACCAATCCACCATGTCATAAGCTTTTTCTAGATCAGTTTACAAATCAGACCTTTTCCTCCCTGTTTTTTTTACTACCATATGTTCATTTGCCACTAGGATTTGATCCACTGTTTGTCTCCCTTCTACAAAGGCTCCTTGTTTTTGAGAAATAACCAAGGGCAAAATAGTCTTTAGCTAACTAGCTATGACTTTGTTGGTTTGAAAAATTTAATAAATTCTCATGCAACATAATTCACTCAATCAAGTGATTGAGTTTTTATTATTTTGGGTAAGGCCCATTTAGGGAATCATACGGATTATTCCCCTTAATTACATCTCCACAAGAAAGTAGAGAACAACTTTTGATTCTGACTTGGAGAAATGAATGCATAGAACAAAAGAAAAGAACAATAAGGTACTTAAAAAAGAACTTTTCATTTTTGTTTCTTTTACATCAAGTGTACAAGAATGAGAAGAAAGAAAAAGAAAATACAATTGAGAAACTATACAACAATACATTCCTCTCTTTTTCTTTTTTTTATACAAAGAAAATTTCCTTCTCACTCCTTTCTTCACAATAGCCTGTAGTCAATCATATAAAATTCTGACTATAGACAGCCTTAATCCTTGGATTTTTGCATACAAAAAGGGAATCGTAGTCAATCAAACTGAATATTTGATTGTAGACGGTTTTTATCCCTCTGTTCTTCATTTTCATTTGAAGGGAACCATAATCATCCCTTGAGAATTAGACTGTATATGGTTTAATCCCTGACTTTGTCTTGAAAGATGGACCATAATCAATCAAGTAGAGGCACCTGGTTATAGATGGTTTATTTCCCTCTATTTCCTTTCTCAAAAGTGAAAATAAAAGAGAGAGAAAGAAGGATACATAGCAAAAGACATATATAGGAAGTATTCACGAAGAGAACTTTCCTTTTCCTACTTGTAGTAGTGAAACTTGTTTTCCTTCCCTGCCTTCCCTTGAGCACTTCTCTTTTCTTCTCTCTTTATCTTTGCTTTTCTTAAAAATATCTTGAGATAATTTTCCTTGAAGAGTGTCTCTGTTCCTAGCTTCCCCTTAAGGAGCTTAAATAGGGAGCGGGGTAGTTATGTAACTACCTCCTCCTCCTAGGTGAAGGACACCTGTCCCTCCCACTTAAAGAGAGGGAACTCCCATATGGGATACTTTTCTATAGTTTTGATGAGTTGGCTAGCAGACTAGCCAACCCACTTATCTGAGTTATAATTTATTTAAATATTATTTGGATTAAAAAAATGCCTTCAACCGACTTTTACAATGATCTTATACAAACAACCCACTAGACTTATTGGTTTGTAATTCTTTGGGGTTTTGGCCTCTTTCTTCTTATGCACAAGAGCAAGGAAGGTTGCATTTGCTTCTGGTGAGATTTCCCCTTTTTAATGGAATTCAACAAAGACATTCATCAATTCATCTTTTAATATTTCCTAGCAGTCTCGGTAGAAGGCCATTGAGAAACCATCATGTCCCAAAGCCTTAGATCTGTCCATCGAGAAAATTGCATCATGAACCTCTTCTAAACCAAAATTTCTTTCTAAGAGGTCAGTTGTGGGATCCAACACCCTATCCCAATTTAATTCTCCCAAGTCCAGTGTCCTTTCATCTGAGGAGGCAAATATTGACTTGAAATGGTCCACAAAGCATTTTCCAATTTCCTCCTTTGAAGTTATTATTCTTCCCTCAACCTCAATGCTAGAGACTAAGTTTTTTCTTCTCCTCCTACTGCAAGCGATGAAAGAACTTCGTATTTCCGTCCCCATCCAAAATCCATTTACACCTTGATTTTTGTCTCCAAAAGATTTCTTCCTTTCTCAAAATCTCCTCTAGTTTCACTTTTAAGATCCACCTTTCTGATCTTTCCTCTAGGCCACATTCTCTTCAGACTTCCTTTTGATCCAGCTCATCAATCTTTCTGGCAATTTCCTCCTTCATTTCCTCCAATTTCCCAAACTCTTCTCTGATCCATTCCTTGATTCTTTCCTTTAGTCTCTTCAACTTCTTTGTGAATCTCACCTATTTGTTTCTAGTCCTAATTCCACCTTCCAACCACCAATCTTTTACTTTTTGCAAAAAATTTGGAACTTCCAGCCACATTCTCAAATCCAAAGGGTGCAGGGCCCCCAATAAGGTTCTACAAAGGCTCCTAGTGGCAAATGAACGTATTATTTTGTCTCCCCAAAGGCTCCTTGACAAATCATTTGCATTTTCTATCAGTTCAAATTTTGATTGAACTCATTCTATCATGGAGTTTTGACGCTTGAGGTTTACAAGACAACTTCACAATGTATTATTTTGTCTACAACCTTAGTTTCTTAGCTTTGTTCAATGATTTGAACAAATATAAAAATTTAAAAAGGTGTGTCTATGTTTCTTTTATCATTTCATAAATGTAGAGAACATTGATGTGGGCCCCACAGCTGTGGTCCCACTCTGTCCGTAGGGTAGAATGTATCTAGTCACAGCTGTGGTTAATTTTCTATTCTGTTATTCCTAGTTTCAGTTTTATATTGTTTGTTATTTGTTAGCAGTTATGATGTAAACACCAAGGGCAGATATGTCCTTTCATGT